GAAAGCTGAAAATTTTAGATATCTGAAAAATAGTGATGATCATGAGTGCCTATAAACTTTTGATAAACTCAAATACCACTTTGGATAAATCTTATATGATACTTAGGACAAAAAATGATTAGGGGTGAATTGATTTTACTTGGAGAAAGATGGCTTCTCTACCATCTAGCTAAAAAATTCCAATGGTTCTCAACTTTTGTCTTGCACCAAAACTAATTTTTCAGGATGCAAAACATGGTACTACAACTGGAGTGTCAGCTCATGATAGGGCAACAACAGCATTGGCCCTTGCTTCTAAAGATTCCAAACCTATGGATTTCAACCGCCCAGGTCACATTTTCCCACTGAAGTACAGGGAAGGTGGTGTTCTGAAAAGAGCTGGGCATACTGAAGCTTCAGTTGATCTTGCAATGCTAGCTGGACTGGACCCTGTTGCAGTTCTCTGTGAGGTTGTAAATGATGATGGATCCATGTCTAGATTACCACAGCTTCGTCAGTTTGCTGAGCAGGAGAACTTGAAAATTATATCCATTGCTGATTTAATCAGGTAAATTAATGACTATCATATGCAGAGCTTTGCTTTCTATTTATCTTTCACTGATCCTACAGTTGAGTTGACCAAATTTAATTCTTGCCAAAACTATTATCAATTTTTTGTGGACTTATTGATTCTTTTAAGAATGATAAAGTAAAGGACTACTAATAATGCTTATGATTTACAGGTATAGGAGAAAGAAGGATAAATTAATTGATCGTGCTGGTGCTGCGTGGATACCTTCTATGTGGGGGCCATTCACGGCCTATTGTTACAGGTCAATATTAGATGGGATTGAGCATATAGCAATGGTCAAGGTGAGGATATATCCACATTCTTATAGCTAGTTTCACTTTCCTATATATCTGATTTACCTTAATAACTGTAAGAATTCTATATAAATATTTTGCCTCTGCTGAATCAACTCAGAAATGTTTCAATCTATTTTAAGCACACTTCTATTTTTTTTTTCAAGGAGATACACCATTCTGTATATTCCTTTAGATTTCAGGTTTTCTTGGATTAACCTTCCCTGAAGAATATGGCGTGATTCTTTTCCATGACGTAAACAGGGTGAGATTGGAGATGGGCAAGATATTCTTGTGAGGGTCCACTCAGAATGCCTCACAGGCGATCTATTTGGATCTGCTAGATGTGATTGTGGGAATCAGCTTGGCCTTGCAATGAAACAGTTTGAGGCTGCTGGAAGGGGTGTTCGGGTATACCTTCGTGGTCATGAAGGCAGGGGTATTGGTTTGGGCCACAAGCTTCGTGCCTACACTCTGCAGGATGCTGGTCGTGATACAGTAGAAGCAAATGTGGAGCTTGGATTGCCTGTTGATTCAAGAGAACATGGCATTGGCGCACGGGCACTTCCTCATAAAAACCACACTAAAGGTTTTACTTGGTTGGTAGAATGGAAAAGTTATTAATCCATTGGTTACAAAGTAGAAAAATGGTTATGAAATCTAACCATTGAATTAATAATTTTTTCATCCTTACCCTTTCCATCCTTTTTACCAAGCAAAGCCTAAATGAATACATCCAGCATAATTCAGTTGCATTCAAAAGGATCATCTGTTTGTCTCCTCCTCCCCCCCCCCCCCCCCCCCCCCCCTTTTTCCTGAAAATACTTCCAGCTGCTACTTGAGAAACTATATTGAATTATTTTTTTCTGTAGCAGCCACCTACCATCTTGAGTTTGTCCGCTTATCTAATTTGGTCCAAAGGGTTTGAGTGTTACCTTGAATCAATTCTAACTCAAAGAAAATTTTCGAATTAAAAAGTAGGTAAATATATGTTGATTTGATCATTGAATCTTTTATAGGTTCAGGTTATTACTAAAAATAACAGAGAGCTTGGGTAAATTCTACTTATAAACAATATTTGTGATGTTAAGATGGAACCTTCATGTGTTGCATAGCTATTTAGATGGAGCAAAGAATAGAATTGTTGGGAGGATGGAAGCCAGCCTAGAAATAATACTCCAAGCCCAAGTACTTAAATACATAATTTTTTTCTTCAATTATTTACAACATCATATGGAAGAAAGTTTGGCAATAATAAATTGGGAAGGATCAGAATTCTGGTTTGCTTCTTGCTAAAAGGCTAAACCATATGCCTATTGCATCTTTTTTATGTTATGAACTGATGATGGATTTTACTTTCTTCTTGCCTCTAAAAGAAGTTTTGAAACTCAAGATTTGATTCTTCCTTGCAGATACTTAGGGATCTGGGTGTGCGAACGATGAAACTGATGACAAACAATCCTGCCAAATACAGTGGACTCAAGGGTTATGGATTAGCAATTGCAAGCAGGGTTCCACTAGTAACTCCCATTACAAAGGAGAATAAGAGATACTTGGAGACGAAACGCTCTAAGATGGGCCACGTATATGGCTGACTTTAGTGGCCATTTGAACAATCTCATCATTGGAGGCCATGGTAACACCACTTCGGTGGATGTTGCATCTGAATCTTAGAATTTGCTGCTTTCCGCTTGCTTTAAATGCTGGTAACGACCTGACATGTTTTATACATTGATGAGGGTATTTTATTTCCTTTTTTTTTTTTTTGAAAAAAGAGAAATAACCTTAAATTTTTTTTACTTGGAAGAGCACATTTCTATCTAGGACTTGGGGTCTCAAAAAATTTTTGATAATATTATACAACACTATTATATTATAATTATTTTTTTATTTATAATTTTATAGGATTTGTTAAATATTATCTATATTATTAAGTGATAAACTTTTACATTAATTTTTATTGTAATTGAATTATTAGAGATGAAATGCTCCATGTACACTTCTATTTTCTTCTAGTAAATCAGAAACCGTTAGATGCTTTCAGTTCTGGACCGTTGCAAATATATAAACATTTAAAAGAACTTCAACGATTGGATCGGGATCCCCAAGTTTCAACTGCACAACATCAGCCAATAGGATGTATAGGACGACCGTTTTTTTCCAGTCGTTATTACAAGCTCAATATCAAAGAAGAAAAAAGCCCACAAGCAACCCCTAACCTTTCTTTAAAGTTAAACTAAATGTTATCTTCAGCTGCTCAATTCAGTAGTCAAAATAATTTTTAAAAAAAAAATTAAAATTAGATTCCAACCTCAATTTTCTTCTATTTTTTTAATATAGGGCTCTTACCTCCTTTGGATAACACAAAAAAAAAAAAAAAAAAAAAAAGGTTAAAGCAAATGCCAAACGTTCGGTTTCTTGGAGATCCATGCCAGAACCAACCCGGTTACTATTGAAATCTGACTTCTATATATACCCCGTCTTCTCCGACTTGTCTTCCTCGTTTGCATTTATAGGGGTAAACGAACTAAATATAAGTAAATTTTATTATGTTCGAAATTCATTTAATTAAATTTTAAAATATTATTTATAGCGGTTTATTAAATTTAATAATGAATAAAAAAAAGTTTATCATGAATTATTTATTCAATATTTTTTGTTAGTTTATATTTTAAATATAAATATATTAATATAAATTCAATTTATTATATTTATAATTTATTTATTTAATTAACAAATTTTAAAATATAATTTATAATTATTTATTAAACTTAATAAATAATAATAAATAAATAGATATCAAATTCATTCATGAATTGTTCGCGAATGTTTTGTTCGAGTAATTACCCCAAAATGCATTTGATTGCACAAACAAAATTTAAAAGTACAAATGAAATTAGTAAGAGCAATCTATTGCTCTTTGGGTGGCAATGAATTATCTATTGCTAGAGTTGATATCGGATCGAATTCGGGATAAGTTTTGCTCACCTCAAATCTAATTCGATTTTATGTGTTTTAAATTCGAATTTGATTCTACCTAATTTTTTTTTTATTTTTTCATATCCGAACTTGATCTCGACACGATACTAGATAAATCGTATCTGATCCGACCTGAAATTAATAAAATATTATTTTTTAAATATTAATATTTAAAAATATCATTATATAAATATATATAATTAATTAACTAAAAAATAATTTTTTATATAATATCAGATCGGATCAAATTAAATTTATATAAAACTTAAATCCGATCCGATCTTAATTGTTTTATAATCTTAATTGATCTGATCTAACTTAAAATTTAAATTTCAAAAAATTAAAATCCATCTCATAAAATTAAATCGAGTTAAAATCGTCGATAATGAATTAAATTATCAATCCTATCTATTGCCCCTTTGGTGGCAGTGGATTGTACCTTTTTTTTTTTTCACATTGTTTGAAATTTTGTATAAAGTAGTTGAATGGCGTGCAAGATGTTGTTCTCTCGTTGGGGACTAGATGTGGCCTCTCTCAAAATTTTATTATTTGAAAAAAAAAAACATTTCAATAGAAGAAATGTGATCTTTATTTATAAAATTACAATCAATGAGGTTGGTTAAATGTGCGGATATATTATAATTTTTTTTATAATAATAAGAAAAAAATAAAAAAAATACGGGAAGTACTTATACATAATGATAAATTTACTTGTAAATTATTATTATTATACTATAATATTAAGTTTCCTTTCTTTCGGACGTGTTTCCTCTTCTTTTCTAACATAGACTTTATTTGAAGTCCAAACATAAAACGCACTAGTTGATACAATAAAAATCCTTTAATTAATCGGACTTCCTAATGTAGTGATAGTTATCCTTCAACCCAGTCCATATCATAAATGTTCGTTTCTTTATTCCATTCACAACTGGTCCTGAAAGCTCTAGAATTTTCAATTACATCAATTTGCCGAATTTTTTATTTCCAATTTCTTAGAACTTCAACGTTACGAATATGGCTGGCAGGTTGTCAATTGTCATTTCACTTGCAACAGGGGAAAAAAAGAAAAAACAAAACAATAGTACCTTGACCAGTTAAGCGCAACCCCGAAGAAAGCCGTCACTAGAAAAAAAAAATCGAAAAGACCCGATCCTTCGTCAGACTCCATACGCGTTCAATTTGATTTAAACCCTCACAACAACTCGCTTCCCTTGGTGTTTTATATATAAAGGCAGACAAACTCTTTCAAATGCCCTCAGTCACACAACTCCATCGATTACTTTGATAGATCATAGTTTTCGGCTTTTTTTTTTTCTTGGTTCTTTAATTTCATTATTCTTTTGTTTACTTCTTTGTTATGGCTCGTTCAAGCCTTGTTTACGTGATGGTGTTGGCATTGCTTTTTGGTTTTGTTGCGGCGCAATCTCCATCTCATGCCCCAGGCCATTCTCCAACGATTCCTCCGGAAAATGCTCCAATATCTCATGCGCCGTCGGTCCACCCACCGGCTCATGCGCCATCGGTCCACCCACCGGCTCATGCGCCTTCACCAGTGAAGACTCCAACGCCTGCACCCTCTCCCGTCGTCCACTCCATTACACCATCAGTTGCTCCTACCCCAGCCTCCGTTAGCGCTGCCGTTTTCAACAGATTTTCTACCGCTGGGTCCGTTGCAGTTGGTGTCTGCGCCGCCGTGTTGGTCATTTAGTGGATTTATTTTTTGGGTTTCTTTTTTGAAGAGAGTTCATCCTTGTGCGTGGTTGCCTTCATTAGTATTCTTCTTTTTAATTCTTTTTGTGAGTGCTTGGGTTTTACATACAGTCGATTGTTTCATAGTTTGACATTGATCGATCTGCCATTTCGGCATGGCTTCATCTTTCGTTTGTTAAATAATCATTATCGTTATTATTATTATTATTATTATTTTTTGGTTTGGTTTTGCTTGATATATTGTTCTGTTTCTTTTTCGACGCTGCTTTAATTTAATATATATCTTGCTAATTAAACTCCACTGAACTGACGAGTTTTATATGCCATTAAAGATTTTTTAGTTCATTCCTAATTTTAGTTCATTCCCAAAAGCATCTTTTAAATTGAATATTTGAAAATAAATTGATTACAAATAATTTTTAAATTATAATAAAATATTTAATGTTGAATATTTTTATCAAGTAAATTTGAAAGAAAATTTCGATTAAACATAAAGTAAATTCAACATTTTAATTAATTTTTATATAAATTAATAATTACCTTAATTTGGAAAATAAAATAAAAATCACCTTATTTTGAGAGAGAGAATCTTGTTATTCAACGGAGTGAACAGGATATCTTTGATCAGTGTCCTATCTTGAGAAGATTCAGATTGGGATTTGGATCCTCTGTTTCGATTTTTCTTGAATAAAATTAATGGGTATTAGTGACGATACAGTACTGTCCTTTTTGCAACTTTTACTAAAGTACAGAGCTAAGGTTTTGTACAGTACCGACGTTGTCATCTTCTGTCGCTTTAGTTTAGTTTCTATGCCAACGGACGATTTTGCTTTGGTAAAGGTGATTCATGTTTTATCGTGACACAATGTGTCTCGTAAAAGGAGGAAAATATAATATAATGTTGTTAGGTTAATCGTTACCTAGATTGAAGTTATATATGATAATTTTAAATATGATATAATAATAAAATATAAAAATTATATAAAAAAATTATATTTTATATTTATTTATATTAATATAAATTTTGATATGATATAATTTATGTTTTATATATTTATATACGTTCAAACACATTTAATATATAAAAAAATATATTTAAATAAAATATATCATATAAAAATATATTTAATACGTAACACAATAAAAAAACATGTTTAATACACTTTTATATTTAATTTAATTTAATATAAATATATAAATATTATTTTAATTTTTAATATTTTAATTATGATACCTAATTAGTTATTCAATATACCATATAAAGATTGTTTTAAATATTTAATTATAATACTACTTTAATAATTATTATAAAATTATTTTTATATTAATAAAATAAATATAATATAAATAATAATATTAATATAATACATTATTATTTTATTTTTTAAACTTTAGTAGTTCATCAATTTGGATTTGGTATTAAAAATTAATATAATTATGTATACACTTATGATTGTTCTATAAGTAATGTATATATTAAAATTTAAATATATATAACATGTTAAATGCATATTAAATGGTATCAATTTTTTTTATATTTTTAAATATGCAAGTATATTTTATATTAGTAATGTATGTATAATATATAAATTTTAACATATTAAATATATATTGTTCTTTGTAACTTTTTATAATAAGATTAAAAAATAGTTTTTTATTAAAAAAAGAATTTAGAAGGATAAATATACACTTAATTGTTAATAACAAATAACATCCAATAATATGATCATTAATAAAGCAAAGCAAATCCAAATCATATAAACATACAATAATATGTTATAATGATAAGAAATTATATTATTATCTTAATAACATGAATCATAATGTGATTATTTTAAATTATAAAAATTAAAATAAAATATTATACATTTGAAATTAAAAATAATACATATTCTTGAGGCATAACCGCCCATTATATGAAGTGGCATAATCACCTATAATGGGTTATAAACCCATGATGAAGTAACTGCCATTAGGCAATTTATTTCTTGATAGAAAAATTGCTTTAAGCAATTTATAAACTTGAAAAAAAAAGTTGAAAAATACTACTTATTTTTCTCTTGCAAAATAAAAGCATTTGGTCATCATTAATAAAAGACAATAACCAAGAGAGATAAAAATTCTCACAAAAATAAAGGAAGAAAGAAAAAAAGAGAGATCGATAATCAACAACTTTTTGTGAAGAAACTCTTACATTTGGTGTGAAGGATTTACGCTATGAAAATAAATCATTTTCATATTGTGATCTTATTTAAATACTAGTAATTGAAGCCAGGTTTTTGTTTCCACTTTTGCTTGACAAGTAAGTATATATGATTATGTTCGTGTATAAATACCTTGCATGTAAATTTATTTTACATTGATATCAGAACCAGGTTTGCTTATGTTATGTTGGTTTGTATGTTCTTTGTAGACATCGTAATTAGTCTAGGCTCAAGCCCATTGGGCCTGGTCCAATAGGATCTGGATCTAAGCTCAAATTAATTGAGCCTAGCTCAATAGGGCCCAGATTATCTGGCCGAATTGGCCATTCATTTTTTTTTGTTTCATTTTTTATATTTATATTTTTTGGTTTTATTTTCGGGCTGATTATTTATTTGTTCTTACCTTCGATTTTTTATATTTATTTATTTTTTAATTTTATTTTTATATTTATCATTATTTTTTTAAGAGATAACAGATTGAATTTGGTGCAAATTTTATCGTGAATGGCATTGGCAGAGTTTTAGTTTGGTTCAATTTTTAAAAGGATAAATGTCAATAGAGGAATCAAAATTAATCAAAAATATGGTATATGGTTTAATATACCACATAAAGATTGTTTTAATTTTTAATATTTTAATTATGATACCTAATTAACTATTCAATATACGATATAAAGATTGTTTTAAATATTCAATCATAATACTAATTTAATAATTATTATAAAATTATTTTTTATATTAATAATATAAATATAATATAAATAATAACATTAATATAATACATTATTATTTTATTCTTTAAACTTTAGTAGTTCATCAATTTGGATTTGGTATTAAAAACTAATATAATTATGTATACATTTATGATTGTTATATAAGTAATGTATATATTAAAATTTAAATATATATAATATGTTAAATGCATATTAAATGGTATCAATTTTTTTATATTTTTAAATATGCAGGTATATTTTATATTAGTAATGCATATATAATATATAAATTTTAACATATTAAATATATATTGTTCTTTGTAACTTTTTATAATAAGATTAAAAAATAGTTTTTTATTAAAAAAAGAATTTAGAAGGATAAATATACACTAAATTGTTAATAACAAGTAACATCCGATAATATGATCATTGATAAAGCAAAGCAAAACCAAATCATATAAACATACAATAATATGTTATAATGATAAGAAATTATATGATTATCTTAATAACATGAATCATAATATGTGATTATTTTAAATTATAAAAATTAAAATAAAATATTATGCATTTGAAATTAAAAATAATATATATTCTTGAAGGCATAACCGCCTATTATATGAAGTGGCATAATCACCTATAATGGGTTATAAACCCATGATGAAGTAACTGCTATTAGGCAATTTACTTCTTGATAGAAAAATTGCTTTAAGCAATTTATAAACTTGAAAAAAAAAGGTTGAAAAATACTACCTATTTTTCTCTTGCAAAATAAAAGCATTCAGTCATCATTAATAAAAAACAATAACCAAGAGAGATAAAAATTTTCTCACAAAAATAAAAGGAGAAAGCGAAAAAAAGAGATCGATAGTCAATAACTTTTAATGAAGAAACTCTTACATTTGGTGTGAAAGATTTACACTGTGGAAACAAATAATTTTCATATTATGATCTTATTCAAATACTAGTAATTGAAGTCGGGTTTTTGTTTTCACTTTTGCTTGACAAGTAAGTATACATGACTATGTTCATGTATATATACCTTACATGTAAATTTATCTTACATTGGTATTAGAACTAGGTTGGCTTATGTTATGTTGGTTCGTATGTTTTTCATAATTGAAAACATAATATATTCTTGTATGTTTGCGAATATTCATAAGAGATGACATATTTTTTGTGTTCTTGATATAATTAATATTGTTGTGATAATTCTTAGAATAAGAAAATGGCATTGATGTTTTTGCCATTTTGGATCATTTTTTTCTTGTTTTAGGCAAAATTAAAAGAAAAAGTTATCCTTATTGACTTTGGGATGTTGGATCACTTAAAAATGGTTGAGATAGGTCTTAATAATTTTTTTTACTTGTGTTAACTCATGAATTCATTATTTTTTCTCGTATTTTCTTAATAAAAAATCATAACTGTTTTCGTGATGACTCTTATTGTTATAAGGTCACAAGCACAATTTCTGATTGTTTTCATTGACAAAGGTCCAAAGCACAAAGTGTGCAAGCTTTTAAAATCAATTTACAATCTTAAACAATCTTTTAGGTAATGATATATTAGATTTCATTAAAAAATAATTTCATATGATTTTATCATGATTGGTGAAGGCCACTATGTGTATGTCATAAGAGACAAAGATAAATTTGTAATCTTGTCACTTTATATAGATGACATACTATTGGCTTACAATGATAAAGAGTATATCACTAAGGTTGTGTATGCTATTGGCAAAAGTTCCTTACTCTAATACTATTGGAAGCCTTGTGTATGCTATGATGTTTATAAGGTCGGACATCTATTATGTTGTGGGTATGGTAAACAGATATCAATTCAATCCAGGTCGACCTTATTGAAAAGTAGTTAAAAAGATATTGAGATATCTAAAAAGTATAGTGAATTATTCGTTATGCTATCAAGGAAGTGATCTACATTTGTTTGGCTATATGGATGTCGATTAGCAAAAAAATTTAGATGAAAAAAAATCTACCTTTGGCTATGTTTTCTTACGAATAGTGAGGCTATTTCATGGAGTAGTAAGAAAAAGACTTGTATAGCACTATCCACAATGGAAGTTAAATTTGTAGCATTTTCAGTGGTAGTACAAAAGATTGTTTAGCTTTAAGAGATCTTAAATCATTTAAGATTTGATAAAGATGAGTCCAACTTAATGTTGGTGAATTACAATAGTCAAGCTGCAATCACATTCACAAAGGATCTCAAATATTATTTTAAGGTCAAATATATAGATACAAAATATAACTACGC